ATTTATTTTTAAAAATTCAAATTTGGACAATTTAAGTATTGTTCTTTATTCTTTTAAAAGTTGGAAAAATATTTTTTTTTTTTCTTTTGAGGTCGAAAATAGTTTTAGTTTTAAAAATCATTATTTTCAAAATTTTGCATAACCTTAACCCAAACTCGGAGCTTGTCTTTACCATTTAATCATGCTTTACGTAAAACCGTTTCGTTTGAGTTCGTAAAAACTTAAAACTTGATCGTAAATGTATGATTGAAAAACGTATTTTTTTTCTTATTATTTTATATTTTATCGGATTATATTTTCAAATGTATATGATTTTTTTCACATTTTAGTGTATTTATATATTGATTGAAACTTTTTAACATTATTTAATTAAATATTAATAAAAAAATTTATTATTGCGGCTCAGCAACCTCTCTAGCTGACTTATTATCCTGGATCCGCAACTGTCAGCAATTGATTGTTTGAAAATTGAATTTCAAAAGAAAATTCATTGTTGACGAAGGGTTGTTATGAACCACTGGTTCTGTAATATGTCGTTCGTCTATGGACGCCCACCAACAGGTCGTCAACCCGAACTCTGTACTATACATTCGCCTACTCATTTATATTTAGAGAAAAAGCTTCGAGTGCATGGAGTCTATAGAGAGAGATTATTTCTGGGAAAATTATGTATTTACTTCTGAGAAAACGATGAATTGCTTACATTACATGGAGGCTAGGAAACACTTGTTACTTGTATTTATGGAAACAACAAAATGGAAATAAGTTCAATATTTTGAGACAAAAATAAACGTTATTTTTCTCGGTGGTTATATATAGGCTTGGGCGTGATTCGGGTGATTTTGAGTCAAATTCGAAATCGAAACCGGCTTGATTGGTTTGGGTAAATTATAACACAAACTGATTCAATCTAACCGGTGAAACCGAATTAAATCAAACCAAACCAATTTTATTTGGTTAATTGGTTTGGACATTGGAGCATTAGAAAAAGTTGGCTACCTATTTTGAAATAAAAAAATTTGCTTTCCAATACATATGTTTTTTTTTTGGGGGCTTGCATAGTGCATCTCAATAATATATATATATATATAGCGCTTGTCTGCTTGGGATTATTGATTCTCAACAATTGATTTTCCAGTCAATTCATCTATAGTGCCAAGAATTGGTTAATTCAAAAAGTGGTGCCAATTTCCATAAATGCCCCTCAGCTCACATAACGAAATAATTGATTGTGCAACATTCTTTGGAGGGTAGGAAAGGAAAAGGATCTGGCAAACTTGACAGCTTGCTTCTTCTTTTTTTTGGACTGTTGCAGCCCCAACGGTCCAATTTTGAATTAAAAGCTGAGAAATAGCGCAGCCAGACTAAATAGCGCAATGTCAATTTTTTCCAAAATATCCTATATATCCAATAATTACCCAAAAAAAAAAAAAAATTTAAACCAAAATGAAGAGCAAGGTTACAATCTAAATTTGAAGTTTACATCACACTTTTTCTTCGTGCTTTCTTTTCTTTTGGAGTTCTGATAGAAAAAGAATAGACGGTAAGCAAATTATTTGAGAAAAAATGTATTTTTGTTCTTACTTTTTTTATTTGAAAGTTTAAAAATATGAATTTTAAAATGAAAAAAATTAAAAAAATGTATTAGCAAATTAGGTTAGTTAACTAACTGATTGGTTACTTAAACCGAAACCAACCCGACCCTACTTTTCAATAGTTAAAATTAACCAAATCAAATCGACTTTTTGGTTCAAACCAACCCGATTCAATTTGATTTGATCGGTTTGATCGATTTTTCAATTTTTTTTCCCACCCCTAGTTATATAATTATGTAACAATTTTTAATTATTTGTTCACGTGAACTAGAATTTCAAGCAAAACCTAAACGCGGATTGTTGTTTTGTTCAACAAATTCAAGAATCCAGATTGTATTATCTTATAATAATAATAATAATAATAATGATAATGATAATATTTAACCCCTGTTTGACACCTATTTTGGAGAAAAAATAAATTCTAAAATAGTGATTGATGAAAGAATGTGTGATTAAAAAGTAATGAGAATTTTTGAATTTATATATAGTATTATTTTATTGATAGAATGTGTAGTTTAATGAAAAATGAGAAATAGAATGAGAAGAAAATTGATGTCAAACGAGGGCTTATTATTATTAGATTTTATTCTTTGTACTATGTGACATGAATCACGATTTATTTAAAATTCAACTCCTCTATTAAACAAATACTTAAAAGTTTAAACACAAAGTTGATTATTTTTTATGTTTTTAACAGTTTTTAAATAAGGTCGTGTTTGATAGGCCACATTTTCTGGAGAAGTAGGAAAATATTTTTCACTTTTCACTTTTTTGGCTGTTTGATAGACGAAATTTTCCACGGAAAATATTTTCCATATTTTCCCCACACGCGTGCAATTTCCGGGTTTTTGATAAAAATATTTTCCCGCCTTTTTGGTTGGAAAATATTTTCCCGGCTGGTTCAAATTTTTTTTTTTTTTTG